AATCAACTAAAAATACATAAATTAACTAATAAAAACACTCTAAAACTAACAAAACACTCAATTAAAAGTATTAAAAGATAAGCACAAATCCAATGTATCAGTCCTACTCTCTTGAACATTTAGAAACCACTTCTATGTATGGTTACGTATCTGTCTCTGTCGAAGTACACAAAAGTAGTTAAAAGATAGCAAAAACTAAAACCTCAAAAACAAAGATAATGTTAAACAGAAGCACGCACAAGATTTTCATGTAGCTGTTAGGTTATGGATCCAACAAATACAAGTATTGCAAATACATGTTTTTTTTTTATAAGAAACAAGTGAAAATTTTATTAAAAAATAAACGCAGAACAAAGAGTAAATAAAAGATTAAAGATGCACGACAGATCCATCCAAAAGGCAAAAAGAAAACCAAAAAAAATTAGAAAACAAGATTACGTAACAACACAACCAGCATCTCAACTCAGAATGTCCTCCAACCTAATATTATCAAAGACAATGGCATCTGTTGCAGCCCACAGAGAAGCAAGGTATTTTGCCTTCTCAAATAAGTCTTCAACAACCATTTCACTCTCTTAAAAAATTCGATGATTTCTCTCATTCCATATTACACAAAGAGCAGCTAAAAGCATTGTTCTTCGTATGGTTTGAGCCTTTTTCCTTCTTCGGAAACCCTAAAAACCTCCATCAGAATAGCACAACTTTAGGCTAGAAAGCACCACTTCAGTTTAACTGCTCCAAAAACTTTTCCCTAAAGACTCCGAGCCATCTTGCAATAAATGATCTGTTGTTTTTGACTTTTCTCTGCACATGACACACCAATTGGGAGACAGAGCAATGGGGAATTTTCCTCTGCACTAAGTCACAAGTGTTAAGTTTTCTTTGATAAAATAACTAGGCAAAGACCTTGATTCTAATAAGAGCGCAAGATTTTCAAGTTAAATACACATTATACTATTGAAGATTTGAATAATTGGAATTTTCTTCTATTATTAATTGAATAAACTCCAAGTGTATTTATACACAGAGAAACGTAAAAGCTGATCCTAAGAAAACTCCTAGATACTAGGAACTACTTTACATATTTCTAGGAATTAGTTTACAACATATCTTACATAGTAGCAGCAGTTATATCCATGATTCTAGGAACCTAACAATCCTCTAGATTCGGCTAGTTTGATGAACAATGCCATAGGATGTGAGGTAGGGACCAAGAGTGGAATTGAAGAAATCTCGGGCATTATTTGTCTTGAAATTTTGAATATTTGCTTGAAACTGTGTTTGAATCATTTTATGAAAGTTTTTGAATATTTGACTGGTTTCAGACTTGTCTTTCATGAGAAATGTCCAGCTCACACGGGTATGATCATCTATCAATAGTAAAAACCATCTCGCTCCAGTGATATTTGAAATTTTGTTTGGACCCCAAATATCACCATGAATAAGAGAGAAAGGATGAGTTGGTTTATATGGACGGGGCAAGTGCTTCAGGTGTGTTTAGATAACTGGCAAATATCACACTGGAAAAACTTTGGATCTTTATTAATGAATAATGATGGAAACAAGCGTTTCAAGTACATGAAATTTGGATGACCTAACCTATAGTGCCACATTAAGATTGCACTATCTTTATTTGCGTGACTCATTGACTCTAGACTATTGACAAACCAGCATTGAGGACTGACACATGTTTTATTAACCTGGGAACAAATTGAGGTGGTAGTTGTGTTGAGGAGATACAAGCCTGCACATATGTCAGCACTGCCAATCATCTTCCCCGAACTCAAGTCTTGAAAAACACAAGATTTAGCAAAAAACTTAGTCTCGCAGTGAAGGTCATTAGTCAGTTTTCTCACATAAATTAGGTTACAATCTAGGTCAGGAACAAATAAAACTGAGTGGATGGTAAGGGTCTTTGAAACTTGTATGGTTCCTGTTCCAGCTACTCGTGAACGTGTGCCATTGGCTATTCGGACAGTCTGATAGTCCTGACATGGAATATATGTTGTGAATAACGTTCTATCACCTGTCATGTGGTCTGAGGCTCCCGAATTGACTATCCAAGATGATGGTGACTTGGCTACATGAAGTGCAAGGTTGCTAGTGCCTTGTGATGTCCCGTCCATTGAAATTGCCGAATTGGCCGAGAGCTGTGCTTTGTTGATTAGCTGCTGAAATAGTTCCAGCTGGTCCTTAGTGAAGGGAATCTGACTCTGAGACCTCGTGGGTTCTGTAGCAGCAGTATTCCCTCGACTTTCACGATCTCCAGCAGTATGGCTTGGCTTTCAATCAAGAGGTTTCCAGTGTAGCTTCCAACACGTTTCCTTTAAGTGGCCTTGCTTTTTTGCAGTGGTCACACCAGGAGCGTCCTCGACGGGAGTTTTTTGGCATTCCGCGAATAGCAAGGGCGGCAGCTAGCTCCGAAGAGAACTGATTGTTGCAAGGGCTGATCCATCAGAAGTTGAATCGAATCGTCCCATCATGACTCGTTTGCGGCTTTCCTCCCGTCGTACTTCAAAGAAAACTTCACGGAGACTTGGAATGGGTTTGGTGCCTAAAATCCGACTGCGTACTTCATCAAGAGATTTGTCCAGACCCATTAGAAATTTGAAGATACGTTTGATCTCCACTATTTTCTTGAAGTAGGTGCTGTCATCAGAATACTTCCACTCGTGAGTTTCGAACAGATCGAGCTGCTGTCAATACCGTGTCAAAATGGTGAAGTAGGTTGTTACTGGTTGATCTCCTTGTCGTAGATCTTGAAGGATACTCTCCACATGGAAGAGTTCAACAGTATTTTCACTGCTAGAGAAGGTGTCATGGGGCTGCATCCCAAATTTCTTTGGCAGTCGTATAGAGAAGGAAATTCTCGCCTATTTCTGTCATCATTGAACTGATTAGCCAGGACATGACCAGATTATTTTCAGCTCTCCATGTCTTGAATTTGGGATCACTGGTGCTTGGTTGGACAGCAGCACCAGTGATATAGTCATCGCGGCTTCGTCCATTAATGTACATCATTATGGTCTGTGACCATTGAAGATAGTTGTGGCCATTAAGTTTGTGACTGATGATGGGGGCAAGGTTGTTGTCAGTTGCGGTATGAGGGTTGATAGAGACATTAGGGGAAGCTGATGACGAGGAGTCTCTGGAGGTTTGTTCAGATTCGGCCGTGGTGAGGATAGGCTAGAGGTGACGGCTAGGAAATTAGGGTTAGAGAGCCTAGAGCTCTAATACCATAAAGATTTGAATAATTAGAATTTTCTTCTATTATTAATTGAATAAACTCCAGGTGTATTTATACACAGAGAAACGTAAAAGCTAATCCTAAAAAAACTCCTAGATACTAGGAACTACTTTACATATTTCTAGGAATTAGTTTACAACAGATCCTACATAGTAGCAGTAGTTTATATCCATGATTCTAGGAACCTAACAATCCTCTAGATTCGGCTAGTTTGAATTTCAACAACTATAATAGTCAATACAGTGTCCAACACGGGACCATGACTTCATCGAGAGAAGTTAAAAAGGAACTTTCAAAATTCAATGATAGAGGTGCACTTTTCTCTACACATATAGGATAAAATAGTACCTAACTGTTTTTGTAGAACAAATGCTTGAATCGTCTTCCGGTCACGTTCAAATTCGAAGGAGTCGAGCAAAAAAACAAAACAAAAAAACAAAAAAAGTCTTTATAAGTACAGATGGCCTTAGCTATAACAACTATACATTATAGTGCCGTCATTACTTTCAACCAACCATTGCTATTAACTTTTAACAGATGAATGAAAATTCCAAAAGATCTTCAAAAATGGAATGAAATTGTGCCAACGAAAAAAATCAACACCGACTCATCAATAACCTTCCAGCAAAAAATAAAAATAAAAACCTCATCAATAACTTGAAAAAGTTAAAAAACCAAGTGGAAAAAAAAAAGAAAAAGAACAAAAAAGAAGAAAGAAGCGTACCCAATTGAAGGAGAAGCAACCTGCATAAAAGAGAATAATATCATATCTGATAAAAAGCCCTAGAAAGAGAAAGTTATATATATATATATATATATTTAGCAAATATCTCACCTTCATGTAATAATTTCTAGATAGCGTCATCTTAAGAGCCGTAAATAACAGGTTCCCCGTCCATCAAAATATAGAGACAGGTGGACAATCAAGAAGCAGACAGAGAAGAAGAAAGAAAATGTGAGAGAGAGAATAACACAAAAGAAGAGAGAGAAACACTGAAGAAAATGCAAAGAAGAAAATGCAAAGAACAAAACACTAACGCTTCAGGGGAGGGGAAAAAAGAGCAGTTGTGAAGAGAAAAAGGAAACAACAAATTACAAAGACGAAAGCTTTCAACGGTACAAATGTGAGGGGAGCTACAATAAACCAACCATGATATCTAATATACTTATAGATAGAGACTAGTTGCAGCCACGTGCTTCGCACGTGTCGGTCTTGCTGTGAGAGTTAAATGTGGTGATTCGGGTTTTTAGATTATTGAATAGTTTTTATTTAAAGAATAATTTGAGTTTGAATTTCACTTTTAAAAATAGATTTTAGTTATTTTTACTTTCATTTATAACAAATTATAAGGAAAAACATGAATTTGTTTTTTAAACATGATATGGCTATGATGTTGGAAATAAATAAATATAATTAGTAGAATTGATATATTTAAAAAAGAAGCACCATAAGCTACCGTTATGCTAAAAAAGAAAAGCAGAGAACCAATTCCCGGTCATGCTATGAGAAAATTCAACAAAAGGTTCCATTTTCATAGACAAAGTGCGCTCATTAGCAGAAAAACTGAGAGCGTGATCTACCTTATATCTCAAAAAAAGAATACATCTACACCAAAATCCAACATCAAGTATCTTATAGTCAAATACAGTTTCTCTTTTTTCACCAAGACGAATGAGATTGAAAAAATAGTATGAAATTAAATATTTTTTCACCAGATTTTTTATATATGCTTTTCTGATTTCTTCCTTTTTGTTAATCTTTAAATGTATCTAAATTTTCTGTTTTATTCTTTAGTTTACAACTAGGAGAAAGAGGAAGGCAAACAGAGAGGAAGAGTGAGAGAGAGAGAACTTGACGAATTGCATTTGCTTTCTCCAATATTGCAGCAACCTTCAAGTTGGTTTTAGGAGTAGGACCTGGAATGCAGGGCCTTGTCGCGGCAGCAGGCTTCAAGTTGAAGGACTGAGACCACAGGCAAAACAATATAACAATTGCCTCAAAAATTCAAGATAAAAAAATCCAATTAACTATCGAGTTGGATAGAAACGGTAAGCCCTAACCTTAGTTCGTATCTGTTCTAGTAGCGAACAGACGTGCAGGGTCATATGTTCCTCAAGGAACAACTCGTGAGATCTGCACAGCTTGAAAAAAAATATAAAAAAAAAAAAAATCAGTCGCCAATCTATGCCTAAAAAATGCATACCACCAACACTGCAATGTTATGTATACAGTGAAGCAACATAAATTAAGAACACTCACTTTGTATGTGACGTTGGTACAACTTCTGGGGTGGTCTCTACATTCCACTAAAGAGGAAAAAATTTCAACGAGTATGACACTAAAGTTGTATTGAGATGAAGTTCTTTTTCGTTATTAAAGAAGTTACTTTCACAAATACTTTGGCCATTAGATAGCCGTCTCAGTATTGACAAGGAGGAAAAAGAAAGTACATATATTTCTTCAACTATTCAGCATTCACCCATGCACAATGGGTCTGTGTATATTAATTTATGAATATTTATATAGATGTGTATAACGCAAACATGCAAAATTCATGAATTGATGCACCTAAGTACTCGTAACCCCATATATATTATGATCTAACACATGTTCACTACGTCAGAAAGTATGTGTTTCTAGTATTAGAATCCAACCTAAGCTTAAAGATACCCGAGATTTTCATGTAATAACCTAAAAGCCTATATAATAGATTGCACTAGAAGTCAAGAATGACGCATAAATCAAGTGTCACGTTGGAATTTTGAGATGTCAAGTAGTTGGGACTTGAAAAGGGAAATAAACTATTTAAATAAGAGCATGTTCATGAACCTCCTTTTACAAAAGATTACAGAGTGCTTATTTTAATTTGACAAAATAATTATCAAATTAATATGGTAAAGTCTCAAATAGATTCACCCAGTCCAATTTATTAATCATTCTAACATGTACTAAAAAATTAAACTCCTTAAAAGGTAATAAGTTATTATGGTGAATAACAGAAATCGAGATTTGGAGAATGAATGCTTCACCAAGCTTCTAGAGCTGATCCACCCAGATAAAAATTAGATTGCTTCAAGTTTTGATTTTACTCAAAATCTACATAATTAGGTCTTCTAAGTATTCATATTTGGAGACAAATATAAATAGATGTGTTACAATTTTAAATAGTTTAATAATCTTTAACTTCCCACATTGCCACAAAAGTTTGTATGTTTATTGCAGCGACAGTCATTTCATTATAATACCTTCACTTTGCGGTTCTTCTTTTCTCGCTGAATCTCTACAGTTGTGATTAAAAATGATGTTGCTTCTATCTTGAAGAACGATGGATCAGTATAACATGCTCCTGCTCCCGCAACATCGAACCTATTAGAAACCAATTGGGATGCTAAGACTTCCCAAGTTGCAAAGTCAATTGTTTCAGTCAGATCTTCAAATCAACATAACTTGAGTAAAAACACTAATGTAAGTACAGTACTTGTCCAGAAGGAATAACCGCGGTGGGCCCTGGGCCTCCTCATTAGAGTCCATTACAAAGCGAGGCAAGTCTCCACAGGCAATTAGATTTTGTTCATAACGCAAATTGGGATGCCAATCAACACCTATAGTTGAATAATGTGGGTCATGTAATGCAATTAGACATTGAAATCTTTGCACATAGTAACCTTTTTTTAAGTTGTATAAGCAAAATCAATAGAAACTTTCCAAGACAAAAACATCATGAACTATGTACACAAAATGTTAGACTAGCTTCCTGGTGCAGTAAATAACTAAAATTTCATACATTTACCAATCTTTTTCTAATATATATTTTACAAATTTGCCTTACCAATAATGCCAAATGCTAAAATGATCATATAAGATTTAATCTCTTCATGCTAACCATCACAAAACAGTTTACAATTACTATCTTTGATTATCAGCTTAGAACAATAATTACTTGGAGTAAAAGAGATTATTCTTCTATTATTTTTTTCATTAGACTATGTGCTAGAAATGCCGTTTGTACCTCCATGCATTCTTAGGCTCCCAAAAGTCAGCTTCTTATTTATAGAAAAGATAAAAAGAAGACCTCCAAAATAACTATAAAACTATCTCAAAGAGACTATTCTAGGCCTAAAATTATGGTCCAAGACATGTGTTGTAACATAGAAAATGAAAATGAAAAAAAAAAAATCAGAATTGCATCTGTTTCATCACTATTAGTAGTACATCAACAGGGTAAATACTACGCTAAGATAAACCACTCAGCCCCATAATTTATCACAAAATATCAATAGCCGTTTTAACTATCCATATATAAACGAAACATGCACCATATAATCTAACCGGCATTGCAGAAAAATGAAGATTAGTTTGTGACAAGAGTGCCTTCTCAATGGGAGGAAATTCTGTTTCAGAAAAATGAAGAAAGATTAGTTTGTGACGTGCCTTCTCAATGGGAGGAAATTCTGCTTCCAGTTGTTGAATGCGAGCCATTAGACCATGTCCTCTTTGTAGCAGTCGCCATCACTTCTCCATGCAAGTCATGGAATATTTCTGCAGCAAACCTATAGACGCCACAAATGATATGGATAGAAAACCTAAAAATGAGAAATCAAACATAAAAGCTTGTGGGAAACAAGTGTGTATCTATTGTTTTTATTTAAGTTGAGAACCAATTGTCATTGTTTTTCCTTTCATAACGTAGGCAAGACGTTTGTGGTTGTAACATTAGAGGACCATGTTGCCAATTTTGCCAGTAAATAATTCGATTTGCAAAATTAAGATGACAAACTACAACATTCAAGATTGCAAAAAGCCAATTGGAATAAATAAAAAAAGTAAACTAAAGAAATCTAATTAAAACAAACACAATCAAATAACACACAAGACTAAATATCAATATAATCAGCGTTTATGATGTCCGCAAACGATATTCCAGTCTCAATGAGAAGTTGAAGAGCTTGATTCCCGTTTGCGTCATATGAAGAGGAGAGATAAAAGAAATCTAACGTGACTAAAAATAAAACTATAAACAATTCCACAAAGAAAATCCGAAATGTTAAGTTTGAAACTCAATAAGGAAGCTTTTAAATAATGTTTTCATGACTCGAATCCTAAGAACACATTTTACTTAAGGAGCAGTAGCATAATATTTGAATATAGAAAATATTTGAATACAGAAAAGAATATACATCAATCGCTTTCATTTATATTCAAGGTATATAAATTGACATAAAGAAGTGAAAAAATTAAAAAATAATCACCCATTAAAGAATGAGAAACAGTTGTTCGACCAAAAAGGGAGAAACAGAGGATGAGAAAGTGTCTCTGTGATCCGTTGTTTTTAGCACAACGAATGGTTCTTTGACCCAGACATCAATGAAGTAATTACAAAATTTTAAGTTTTATTTTTATTAATATTATGATGTTTTTTCATTTCCTCGTCACTAAAGCTGAAATAGTAATGGTAAACACAAATATAAAGAAAAACTGTGGGAAATTCTCATACCTGAGCAAGACAACAAGGAACAAGGTCTCTAGTTTTATTTTTAGTAATGGTAAACACAAACATAAGTTTTATTTTTATTAATATTATGATGTTTTTTCATTTCCTCGTCACTAAAGCTGAAATAGTAATGGTAAACACAAATATAAAGAAAAACTGTGGGAAATTCTCATACCTGAGCAAGACAACAAGGAACAAGGTCTCTAGCAACAAATTAGAGAAGATCAACTGCTTAGAGATACCTTGAAGAAACTGCATTCCCTAGAAACTAAACTCTTCAAATTCAATCAAAGCCCATAACTACTCTTTTCTAATTTTCTTTAGGTTTTACCTATTCTACAACTAAACAAAGGTTCAGAAGAAACCACATAAACTAATACATAAAAGATAGGAATTTTCAGGTACCTGAACCCTTTTAGTTGATGAACATCGGGAGGGCATTAACTGTAAGTTAGAACTATGGAGACAAACCATTAAGACGAAGGGATTTAAGTTAAGTAGAACGAAGACTGAGTACATGCATTGTAGGTTTAGTAATTTGATAGATCAGAGTGATGGAATTTTTTTGGATGGTGTGGCGATTGGGGCTACTAAGAAATTTAGGTACCTTGGGTCCATAGTGCAGTGTGAAGGGTATATAGATGAGGATATTGGACATAGGATGTAGAAGAATGCCACGGGAGTTTTATGCGATGATAAGATACCTATTAAAATAAAAAGAAAATTTTATATGATAGCAATTCGCCCAACTATGTTATATGGTAGTGAATGTTGGGCCATCAAGAGACAACAAATATACAAAATGAGTGACGGATATGCGTATGTTAAGATGGATGAGTGGCCATTTGAGGATGGATCGAATACGGAATGAAGTTATTCGTAGTAAAGTAGGTGTAGCACCAATAGAGGATAAGGTGCAGAAAAACCGTCTGAGGTGGTACGGGATCGTTAGATGCACCTGTTCGTGCTTGAAAGAAAATCCAAATACCTAGTACTAGGAGAGCGAGGGGTAGACCAAGAATTAGTTGGGCCGACGTAGTTAGGCACGACTTTCAAGGTCTAGGGTTTTAGTAGGGTCTTGTGTTTAATAGAATAGACTGGAAACAAGAAATCTATATAGCCGATCCCAATTAATTTGGGATTAAAGCTTGTATTTGTTGTTATTGTGTAAAAAATTGTTAAATTTTTTAATGGAGGAGCATTTTCATTAACATTTCATTATTTAAGGGGAATGAATGTTATGTTTTAAAAAACATGGAGCAAAGTGTTACAAGGGGTATAATTCAAGAAGAATTTTTGTAATAAATGCAAAATAGTTGTGGAGAAGTAAAACAAATCAATTCAAGAGGTGTGTAATAAGCCGAAGAACAAAAATAATAATAAGAACTTCTTCCCTATTAACATAACTTATTACATTTTAGTGACTGTTAACATAGGTTATGAGGATTGGAAACAAGAGAGATTATACCTTGAAAGTAAGGTTGCCTTTGCTTAAAGAATGGCAACCGACATGATTCTAACTACGCGAGCCAAAACTTTCTCAACCTGCTTGCTCGATAGCCAAAGAAACTATACAAAAAGAAGGCATTTGCAATTTTCTTGTTTATTTCTCCAATGTTAGAAATAGTAGTGCAAATGAACATGTACATCCGGGGGTAAAAGATCAAAATGGTTGAGGAAGAGTAAAACAAATCAATTCAAGGGGTGGATAGTAAACTGAAGCACAGAAACAAACTATTAACACAACCTGAACAAGAATTTCTTCACTTTTAACATAATCTACTATTTTTTTAGTGACTTTTAACATAAATTATGAGGATTGAAAACAAGAGATAGATTATACCTTGGAACTCTACAAAAAGAAGGCATTTGCAAATTTCTTGTTTATTTCTCCAATATTAGAAATAGTAGTGCAAATGGACATGTACATCAGGGGGTAAAAAATCAAAATGGTTGAGGAAGAGTAAAACAAATCAATTCAAGGGGTGTGTAATTGAAGAACAGAAACAACAACTATTAACACAACCTGAACAAGAACTTCTTCACTGTTAACATAATTTACAATTTTTGCCAAAACTTTCTCAACCTGCTTGGTAGCCAAAGAAAATCTACAAAATGAAGGCATTTGCAATTTTCATGTTTATTTTTCCATTTCCACGTCCAATTTGATCATTAAGAAATTAAATAGAAGTACAGATGCTTCCTTTCAAGATATTATTACCAAATCGGCCACACAACAATTAACCTTGAGACAAAAACTTTGAAAAATACTGCATCTCTTTAAGAAGAGTTCTCAAATTGAATTGCGAAACAATGGAATGTTTGGAACGTTTTTTTTTTTTTTTTTTTGAAAAGAAACGAGAATATTAAAGCTGAAAAACGCAAACTAGAAAGCAGAGGGAGAGTTTTCCTTTGGCAGACCAGGTCTAAAAGTACAAATAAAAAGCCAAGTGCTGAAACAAAAATCAAACGAAACTACAAAAACTGAGACCAATCCCTAACCAAATCTAAAAATAATGACCGGCCGAAAACCTTATAAGGAAAAGGTACAACAGTAGTTTTTGTCCGATGAAGAAATTAACACTTCAGGAAAAAAAAAACTTCAATGTAGGAAATTGTTACTCCAAACGAAAAAAAGGACAAAAAAAGATTATGACTTTGAGAAAACACAATCAAAGAGAGATCAATCAACTAGGAAACAGAAGTAATAAAATAAAAAAAATAAAATAAAAAGAATAAAGATCAAATGAATAGAGACGATAATTATTACCTTTAAAAATCACTCGACCAACTGAGATGAGCAAACAAAAATGTACAGAGAATCTTTCAACCCAATCTTTCATTCGATTTTCCCACACTTTCTCAAGAACAAAACATGCACAAAAATGGAATCAAGAAATAGAGTAGAGTTTGCCACCAAAGTGTAGACGTCGGCCTCATCAATCAAGTTGATGGCGATTCTAAATAGCAAAAAGGCGAGAGAGAGAATAACACAAAAGAAGAGAGAAAAGCTGAAGAAAATGCAGAGAATGAAAAACTTATGCTTCAAAGGAGGGGAAAAAAGAGCACAGAAGACAACAAAATAGATAAACAAAAACTTTAAATAGTAAGAATGTGAGAACAGCTACAATAAACACACTCTGCATTCTAATATTCTATAGTTACTAGTTGAGGGATGAGCGTGTTCTGCTTCTGAATTTATTAGAGATTTTTTCATCAAATTTATAGAAAGATAGCTTGGTTTAGTTTTCTTCAAAACTATAGTGGTCTTTTTTCTTTAAAAAACAATCTCATTCAAAAAGCACAAATGTCACTAAACAACACCAGAACTAAAACCAACTAGCAGCCTATCAGAACACACCCACGAAAAAAAAGGAAAAACATGAGCCTAATAAAGTCCTAAGGTACATCATCCCTCAAAAAATGAAACAAGAAAGCAACATAGGGGAAAAGAAGGTTACACCACCACTTTGCAAGGTTGAACAGAAATTTGCAGCTACTAGGAAAACAGTGGGCCTCTCGACCATAGAAGCTTAAGGACATCTCCACGTCAAATCATCATCATAACCAGTAACAAATTCCTTGAACACCACCGCTACATCACCTTCAAAATAGTCAAACAAACAAAGACCGCAAAATAGTGAACTTCTGTTAATGCACATCTGTGATGTTTTCTAACTATAACCATCCTACTATTTTTTTCCCTGAACATATGAATTTCACACATGTTTTTTTAATAGGGAACAATAATAAAATTAAAGTTCAAATCCATAAAATGGGATACGGTACATCCTAAAAGTTAAAATTTAAAGTCACCATAGAAGAATCAAGAAGTACCATAAACGGAGCGTCCAATATCATAATCTTGAACCTTTCA